ATCTGACAACAACATGGACTCAAGTACTTCTTGGGTATTTAAGTTGCTCGATTGAAGCAACACATATTTCTCTCTCAAAGAAAGTATGTTATGGATTTATTGGCAGAAACAGGAACGCTAGATTGCAAACCCATGGACACTCCAATCGTCCAGAATCACAATCTTGGAAAGTATCCTGATCAAGTGCCCACAAACAAAGAAAGTGATCAAATATTAGTGGGGCGATTGATTTACTTGTCACATACTAAACCAGACATTGCGTATACTGTGAGTGTTGTCAGCCAATTCATGCATTGCTTAAGTGAAGATATGGATGTTGTTCTTCGAATCTTAAATATTTAAAGTTGGCACTTGGGAAAGGACTTATGTTTTCAAGAAACGATCATTTAAATATCAGTGGTTATACTAATGCAAATTGGGCAGGGAATGTCATAGATAAAAGATCAACATCAGGTTACTTCACATTTGCGGGAGGTAACTTGGTGACTTGGAGAAGCAAGAAACAGAATGTAGTTGCCTTATCCAGTGTAGAATCCGAATTCAGAGGTATGACCAAAGGAATTTGTGAACTTTTTTGGTTAAAAAGATTGCTTACCGAGATAGGATATGCCCCAACATCTGTAACGAATCTGTATTGTGACAACTAGGCTGTAATATCTATTGCACATAATCTGGTTCAACATGATCAGCCCAAACATGTTTGTTTGTACCATATCTGACCCTCCACTCGTACAACAACACGTGGATCTTATAAACTCGCCCAAGTACCCAAGGCCTCGGGCAATCGGCATCGGCCACCGATGGCATTGTCTCAAAGCTGCGAACAGCCATTACGAGCCCAAGACTCGTGTCGACCTCAGAAGGCCCTCCCACGAGTCCCACATCGAAAATGAGCTCTAAGAGCATACTAAATGCCCTCTATAAATAGGCCCCTCCACTACAATACAGGGGTAAGACTTTTCAGCTTGACTTTTATACTTCTATATAGTCAACAGCAAGAGCTCTTATAAGCAATCTTACTTGAGCATCGGAGGGTCTTAGGCTGGTTCCACACCGGTTCCATAGACCTCACGGGCTTCACTTATCTTCTATTCAGGATCAGCATCCGAAGACAGGAAGAATCTCCATCTATCACTAAATCGATCACCTCGATCGTCCACATCTCTTGTAAGTTGCACTAATCTCTATCTGTTCAGATTTAGCGCCAACAGATTGGCGCCGTCTGTGGGAATCGCTTATCGATCAACCCATATCTCAAACAAAAGAACTCTGAGACCCAAAAATGAATCCATCTTCGGCCCTCCCTACCGATGGCCCCATCCTCGGCCTCGGTGGCGAGCCAAGTATAGCTCCATCGCTTCAGACACCTAATGATTAAAAGCACAAGTTTAACTCAATAACATAACCAAATCATAAGCTAGAAGGGTACAGAATGATATACAATCGCCTCCAAACTGGATGACACCCAGAGGCAGCTGCATCAACAACAAACACTCTCCGCCCAGTTGCAGAACGATCGGGAACGGACCACACAGCTTCGGCAGGAGAAATCGTTTAAAAGCGTACGAAGGCCCACTTTCCAGGATAGGGGGAAGCAGCAGGCCGCGAACGAACCGACTGTCTCCCGAAGACTGTTCGTCCCCACTCCAAAGGAGCGCCATCCCGAATATCGCGTTTATTCTGATTGCCGCGAGAGGATCAACGATCGGCGGAGGGAACGGCAGTCCTCGCCCATCCAGGTCCGGGCGAAGCTCGACGATCCACGCCTGGAGGTACTCGGACCAAAATCCCCCCTACGCAGGAGGTACGGTACGATCGGCCTGGAAGAGACGGACGAATCAGATTATGTTCCAACATCTCCAGGAACCACAACCTCATCAGCAGGGCCCTCTGCACAACGCCACAGCCACCGATCGAACCAGGACAACGATCGGCGAAAAGGAAATTACGAGAAAGGCCCCAGCCGAACGGCAGACCAAGGAAGGCGAGGTCACAATACTGACCAACACACAGGGAACCGAGCGGCCGAGCCCTTTGGTGACGATCTCCCACCTACCAATCCGACTATTCGTCTCCTCCTACAGAAGATGAATCGCATTGAAAAGAAACAAGACCAGGCTCGGACACCGACATGGGGAACGGTACAGCCAGGGCCGTTCACCAATCGAATCCGGACATTCAGACACGAGAAGGAGGTCCAAGCACTCCGCATATCGTTCTATTCGGGGGTGGAAGATCCCGTTACCCATATTCATACCTTCCAATCAGCTTTGGGTTGCAAAGGACTGACGGACGAAGGCCAATGTTTTCTATTTCCCTCCACCCTGACCGGAGCCGCTTTGAATTGGTTCTATCGGATGGAGCCAGATACGGTTGACAATTTTAATCAGTTGAAGCAAACTTTCCTCAACCATTTTATGATTCAGACCGATCGCCTATATTCTGCCGATGACCTTTACACCGTTCGGCAGCAGGATGATGAGCCGTTGAGGGAATATGCAGCTCGGTTTAGCCATGAGTACTCCAGATGTCCGGAAACTGACGACAGGGCGGCCTTCGGTGCTTTCAAAAGCGGCCTTCGGTCGTCTCAGTTTCGTTATTTGGTCCACAGCAGCAACTGGACCACCTACTCCGAATTAATGAAACAGGCGGCTATC